GTATGTGAACACATTTGGGACTAACAGGGTTTACTAGAATCCCACCACTCCACCACAGAGTCACCGCAGTAGACGTGAGATGAGCGCTGTCGCTCTGCGGCACTTGTTTATTATTTACATGTTTTTCTGTATTTTTCTCCATTTAACTATTTCTTTCCAATTAAGGTAAATATTTACATTATTTATTTACAACAATTTCATTACAACAATAAAATTATTTTTTTTTTAATAGGGTTAGGGTTAGGGTCACAATGCACCATAAAACAGGAGTTTCAGGCACGCGATTTGTATCAACCAATGGGATTTGGGAGGTATGCAGAATGCAGAAGGTTGCTGAAATGATGTGTATGCAACTGCGTATCTGCATATCTGCGCCTAACAAAGGTGTCACTATGCACGACTTAAATTTTATGTTTATAACCGTAGCAACAGACCTCAGATGAGCCCAGACGCTCTGCGGCTCTTGTTTAGTTTGTAGTGTGGAGTGTGTTAAATAGTGGGTTGAGGAAAGACGTGTGACTTTGAGACAAAGAACAAAGGTTAAACCTTTCTTGAATGTTTCCCTCATCCTACCTTCCTCTGGGAAAGCAGCAGTTTATTTCTTTAATATTTATTTATCAGCAATGTACACAGATTAAATCATTCAGACGTTTCCGGAAATATACAATTCTTTGGTCCTGTCAGAACCAAGGCATTTTTGGGGCATGTCCAGCACATTTTACTTGCGTGCTGGACCCATTCTCCTACACTATTTTTCTAACATTTCAGCGCTGGCCGTTCATGACCAACAACAACAACAGCAGCAAAAAAAGTTGTACTGTCGGTGCAATTGTTCCGCAGAAAAATGAGATTTAGCATTCCCTGATATTCAAAGTTCTGGTATGACTGCTACAAGTTTTGCATTTCTTATTTGTTGATAGGCGAACTTTTGCCATGGTTTATATATATACATACGTATATACATTAATCTTCAGACTCTGACGTGGGGTAGCATGCTGGACGAGGATAATATGCAGGAGGGTGAGTCGCCACAGAGCCACGCGCTTCTCAACACAAACAACTCGCACAGTTGCAACAACCTCGTGGACGCCGCCGCCGACGACGACAGTGACGCTGTCCGCAGTCTCATCGTCACGCCACGGAAGAGCGCCAAGCCAGAGCCGTTCCGCGTCCCCCTGGAGGAGATCGAGTGCATTACTAGCAGCACGGCGCCGGGGCAGAAGAAATGCAAGAACGTCTCGCCGAAAAAGTCGTCTGAGGAGTGGGCAGAGCAGAAGGGAGGCCGCAAGGGGAGGAGGCGGTCACCCGAAAAAGAGAGCGCGGTCGAGACGAAGTCCAGTGATCAGAGCGAAACCAAAGGAGAGGATTGTCACAGTGGTAAGGATGGGAGTGGTTGGTTGTGCCCACTGCTGTGGTTAGAACACTTGTCAGTTTCTTTCACTAGTCTCATTGTGGTATGAGTTGGGGTTGTACACTTATCGACATGGTAAGGATACGTAAATGCTCCTTCACTAGTCATGCAACGACAACAGTAGGTGTGATGTCGCATACCCATAACAACAGGTAGTATGCATTGCAGTGCCATATATAGCCCCGGTAAAGATCTGGTGTGTTCGTAGCCTACCGTGTCTTCATGTTGCATGCACGATAACAATCTACTCTCACGTGTGCTGTGACGATAGCTGTGGTCTGCATGCTCGCAAGGTTTTGTCCAATTGTTTAGTTATGTCACATTGTTTATTTCTGCCCCTTGCTGCTCGTTGACATTGTGTAGAGTGTCACAACGAGGTTTTGTCACATTGTTTAATCTACCCGTTGTTATTTTTTGACGTTGTGTAGATTGTCACGGCGAGGTGCGCACGTACGCGATGGTGACGGCGGGTACGTCGGGAGGAGCAGCGGTGGCGGTGACGCGGCCGGCGAGCATTGGCAGCCCCATGGAGCACCTCATGAACAGCTCGGTGTCCAGCGATCATCACAGCGTTGTAAGCCTCCCCTGCATGCACGCACGCACGCACGCACGCAAACACGCACGCCCCCACGCACGCACGCACGCACGCCCGCACGCACGCACGCACGCACGCACGCAAACAAACAACCGATACAACGGCACGCACGCACGCACGCACGCACGCAAACAAACAACCGACACAACGACATGCACGCACGCACGCACGCGCGCGCACGCATGCACGCACGCACGCACACAAACAAACAACCGACACAACGACATGCACGCACGCACGCACGCACAAACAAACCGATACAACGACGCACGCACGCACGTGTTGTGTACGCCAGATCTTATATAATATAAGTTCTGGCGTGTAATAGAAATGGTAATGGCAGCGACAGCAGTAGTAGTAAGAGTAGCAGCAGCAGCAGCAGCCGAGCATTGACAAATCTCAATGACGTGGCTGGGAGAGTTAGCTTGTGTAAATCGGAGCAACCGAATGCTCCGCACTCCTTGCTGGCGCGTTGTCGTGGTTACCTCGCGTTCGGAATCCCGCGCGTTGTTGTGGTTACCTCGCGTTCGGAATCCCGCGTGTTGTCGTGGTTACCTCGCGTTCGGCATCCCGCGTGTTGTCTTGGTTACCTCGCGCTCAGCATCCTGTGCATTGTCTCGTCTGCCATGTAGGAGTCGAACGACAGCGGGAAGGGAGCGAGCGACATCATGCAGTCTCACATCGATGAGCCGCTGCACGACTTCTCCCTGTACGAGTTTGAGATGCCGCAGCAGCTAGTCGGCAAACTCATCGGCAAGCTAGGTAGGGCTTCATCTCACGCGTAGGGTTTCCTCTCACCTGTTGGGCTTCACCTCACCTGTAGGGCTTCAGCTCGTATGGCGCGTCTGCCCCTCATATAGGAAATGTGTTATAATATAAGTCTTCAACTCTCACATAACGTGTCGCTTGTATTGTATCGGTTCTTATATTGGGTGTCGGATGTTAATTTGGGCTTGAGCTGTTATATATATATATATATATATATAGCTTATTATATATTTATATTATATATGGCTTCAGCTCTTTTAGAGGGTGTCAGCTGTTATATTGGACGTTTGCTGTTGAATCACCTGCACAGTGTTTGACTCTAGCACTTATAATATAAAGCAGCTGTTTTTATCTAGGGCTTGAGCTGTTGTGTATAGCAGTAGCATTTATATGGATGTAGGGCGTCAGCTCTTTTATTAAGGTTTTGGGTTTCAGCAGTAACAGTTGAGGCTTTCATGGCGTGTCGTATTTGGATTCCCCATGCCCTTTTTCTGTGACAGCACAGCATCTCCATATTTCATTCTAGGTCAGCTAACTCCTCTCAAATTCGACGAATGAATTCCTATCTCTTTTGTAGGCCGTAATGTGAAGTCGTTAAGGGACAAAACGGGAGCAAATGTCTACATCAAGCGCCATCCGTATTTTGACACGTATAAGTTGTGTGCCGTTGAGGGTAAGTGTAGCCACCTGTGGCAGCATCCTTCCTGCTAATCGATGTTCGATAATGTTGCTGCTTAATGAATTGCAGTTATTTTCTTAATGAATGCCAGTTGATCGTCTGCAGGAAGTTTCCTGATGTAGCCCTCTACGACTCTCTCTCTCTCTCCCGTTACAGGAACCCCCGAGGAGATTAAACTGGCGCTGGCAGTGATCTCGAAACGCTTTCCACCCGCCAAGTTTCCGGAGATGACGCTGGTGCAAGTGAATGCACCGGTCGACCCCAGTGTGTTCATGCCCGAGAACATGCAGGTTGGTGAACACAGCGCGCTCGCCTGCGACTTGTCGCGTGATCTAGATAAAAATAACAGCCTTCTGACTCGTCCCCCGCTGGTGGTTCCCCGGTTGATCCCAGCGGTGCATTTATGCAAGATTGTTAGGGAGTGTTAGAATGTAGCTCGTACAGTGCTTTCCGTGTGATGTGCTTGTAACAGAGGTGCATCGTCATTTTTCCGTGATTTATGTTTGTGTCGGGTCGTCGTACTGTGTTGTTCATGATGCAGTGTGATGCTGTTCGTATTGTTCTCCCTGAGGTGCGATTGTATTTGTTTATGCTGTTTGTGGTACTATCATGTGTGTGTTGTTCACTTTGTTGATCACTTGATATTGTTATTACATGTTCTACATTGAGCATATCATGATGTCATGTGTTGTTTGCTAGATGTGTTGATTGTTACATGATGTCATGACGACGTGTTGTTCGCGTCATCGTGCGACGAGGTTGACGTTGTTCTACGTCGTTCAGCAGCTGCCGTTCCCGGAGGAGATTCCGGTCGACGTGATCGTGTCAAGCCTCGTGAGCGCGTGCCAGGTGTTCCTGCAGCAGCCGACGCACCCGACCTACCCAACACTGCGCCTGCTCGACGAGTCCATGCAGCTCTGCTACCACACCGAGAACGCAGTCATCCCGCAGCTGCCCCGGCCCATCGAAGGTACGCTGCGACGACGACGACGACGACGACGACGACGACAAAGACGACATGATGCATGCGAACGAGTGTACGCATTGTGGGTGTGCGTGCGTCTGTGGGTGTGCGTGCATCTCTGGTTGTGCGTGCGTCTCTGGGTGTGCGTGCGTCTGTGGGTGTGCGTGCGTTTGTGTATGTGCGTCAGCGTTCGAAATTAGTGCCGACCCGGAGGCCCGAGGCCACCAAGTTTTTGCCTCGGCCACCATCTCTACGAAACTGCCGGTCCTCCTGAGCGGCACATTTTCCCCTCATATTACTCTGAAATACTACAGTTACCGCAACGGCTGTTTAGACAGACTTGTAAACGTGAGCGCATTCTAATACGCTCCGTTCCTGAGCGTAGACGGGGTATTCAAAACATCTAGAGCCGAGGGCATGAACTCCCTCAACGCATGATTCGCCACACGAACAAAACCTCGTGACAGTCTAAGAAATCTATTGCGGCATGACCCCAGTGTTGAACAATAAGTTCATATGTCGCAGGGGTTATCGTGGGGAGTGAGGGCACGACCAGTGATAGCTGACACGCACGTAATCAAAGCTGTTTTAAGTGAATTCGTCACTTTTCTTTACGTAGAAAGTGGACTATTTTAATTTATATCTAGAAGCAATGTAAACTATCAAGATTCTACAGGCACTTGTAACTTTGATCTATGCATGGGGGTGCCGTGGACTGGGGAGGAGAAAAACGAAGTTAAACCTTTCCCATAAGCTCCTCTAACATTCCTAGAGCTTGAGATATATTATTTGACCAACTCTAAGTTACATGTATGCTGTTAATGCCAAGGGTTATTTTTGTATACTATTTTGTTACTCACTGCTAGTAAATAAGCAGACCACCAACTTTTGTGCAGGACCACCAACTTTCTGAAGTTGGTGGTCCTGCTGTCCACTAGATTTTCAGCCAAAATTTGAACCCTGATGTGCGTGCATCTGTGTGTATGCAGGGGTAGAAATTGACTTTTAAACAAGCGAGTCCAATGGACTCCCTACCCTCAAAAAGAGGGAGTCCGCAGTCTCAAAACTAGAACTCTCAGAAGTTCAAAACTAAAGATATTAACAAAATGGACATTTGCGGTACACGTCTGCCAAATTTTCTTGGGGCATTTGCTAAAAATATGCGGTAATTCTGCGAGGCCGTGCTCTGGAACGAACTAGTTAGTATAGCAGAATTTTCAGGGAGTCACACGGACTCCTGCATATGTCAAAGCAGGGAGTCCGACAGTAAATCAGGGCGTATTTGACTCCGGACTCGCGTTAATTTCGCACCCTGGTGTGCGTGCGTCTGGAAGGAATCCTCCCTGATGCTTCCTCAGGTTGAGGTGGCATAAAATTCATGATTAAACCCAAGGCAACACTTTTCTTATGCCAAACATTTAAAAAAAATTCGATTCCTGTGCATCCGTGCGTGGCGTGAGCACATCTGCTTGTATGCGCACGTGTGCGTGAGTGCCGTGTGCACGCGACTTCCTCTTCTGTAGTGACTGACACAGTTGTGTGTCTTTGCTCCACAGTGGGCGTGATCTGCGCCGTGCCCGTCGCGGGCATGGACGGATGGTACCGGGCGCAGGTGGTGCAGACGCAGGACGAGACGGACGAGGTGGACGTACGATTCTGCGACTACGGTGGCTACTGCAGGATGGCGGCCAGCAGTCTAAGGCAGATAAGGTGAGTAATTTACACGCTGTTTCCCGCACGGGTGGCCCGTCTTCTCATGGTTAGAAGCTCGCATACCTACAGTAGCCGTAGGAAGTAGCCGTTCCAGTGAAGAAACCTTTAAGTTTTATAATTTTCAGCGGCTAGCTAAACGCTTAGTGTCAGATTCAGATACACGTTTGCTTCAGATTTTTTTGAAATTCTTTGTGATCGATCGTGTGAGTGCGAGTTCTCCGGAGATAATACTTTTCGTTGGTTTTTCGCAGGAGCGATTTCATGTCGTTGCCCTTCCAAGCGACGGAGTGCTATCTGGCTAACATCTCCCCGCTCGACGGTACGTACCCTTGTCCCCGTGTCATCGCCGATTCTTAGTCTTGGATCACAGCTCATGATGATGAGAAGCAGTATGTCGAGGTGCCTGCCTGGAGCAGGTTACTGCAGCAACCTGAGGGAGCAGGTTGAGCAGGTTACTGCAGCAACCTGAGGGAGCAGGTTGAGCAGGTTGAGCAGGTTACTGCAGCAACTGCTTCTTCCACTTTGCGTTGCTCCAACTTTGGCAGATTGGGTTTTGTGAATCAGACGGGGTGGGGTGGGGGGGGGTGGGGGTGTAGCTCATGGTTTTCTTAACCAGGAGAGATTTTTCTGTCTGTCTGTCTGTCTGGTTCAGGCACTTGGATGCAGTAGCATCCGCCATCGCTAATCGTTATATGAGGTGGTCCTGAAATAACTGCTGTCATAAAAACCATTCATAGATGTTCGATTCTGTTATGGCTCTGCCTCTTCTGCTAAATGTGGGGAATGAGAACTGTGATGGCAGCTGGCATGTGCGCCAGTCTATTTTTAACACATCGAACGCAGTCTTACGCCATGACTTTGGCATGTGCAGTTACCCAGAACCGGTAAAAAATCATCTAACTTGATATCATCAGTCTGGCAAGTGAAACCCCGTCTCGGTAAACAAGTTTTTAGGAAGTAGATAATGTTTCGAAGTGAAGGAGAAAGGGGTATGGCAAGCCATTCAAAACTATTCAAACAAGCAGCAATATAAATAATGCAAGTCTGAATAGAAAATAATACTTTTTGAATTGAAAACAATACTTCCACAAACAGAAAAATCTTGCCATAAAGTGTAAAGGATCACTTATTGTATCACACGTGTATATCACTCATCACACATATATGACACTGATGCTAGCATGGACATTATTGATTTCAACACTGAGAGTAATGCTGGCAATCATGTTGACAATAGTGATGGTGGTGTTACTAGTCATGCTGACATTGATGATTCCCACACTGTTGCTGACACTAGTAATGAATTTTAAAATGATAACGATGATTCCGTCACTGTGAATAATTAGTACTGACAGTGATGCGGACGCTAACAATGACGTGGATGCTGGCAACGATAACGACAATGCGGTTCACCAGGCTTTGCCATCTGAGAAAACCACGGGGCCTAAAAAAACGCCGGTCACTTACTCGACGGGGCTGATTTTTTAAAAATGATGAATTATGTAAGAAAGGCTTTGTTACATTCATATGTATTGTTACTATGCTTTTTCCCTACTATTTGGTATATGAATTTATAACAACCAGTGTTCTTTCTCGATTCGACTAGCGTTTTTGATTCTTGACATCTCAAAATTTGACGGGGTCGGAAAAAAAGCCCCGTGAACACTGGAGACGGGGCTGTTTACGGGGCTTGGGCCGATCGGCCTCGTGAAAAGGCGAAGCTGGTTGCAACGTTGTGCGATAACGACAACGCGGTGCAACGTTGTGCGATAACGACAACGCGGTGCGACGTTGTGCGATAACGACAACGCGGCGCAACGTTGTGCGATAACAACAACGCAGCGCAACGTTGTGCGATAACGGCAACGCAGCGCAACGTTGTGCGATAACGGCAACGCGGTGCAACGTTGTGCGCTTGTTGTTCTTGCAGAGACGGAGGGCTTCAGCATCGAGGCGGCGGCAGAGCTGGAGGAGCTGACGCAGGGCCGCGTCATACAGGCGCAGATCGTCGGACGAGCAGAGGACGGAGTGCCCTACGTGCACCTCTACTCACCCGTCAGCGCCGTTGAGGTAGGGCTCGCGCGCGCCTCGCCCCCTTAAAAAATTCTATGTTTGCTGTCCCCTGACCCATGATTTTTTTAGTGGGTAGGTAGGTAGGTCATTTTTTTGTGTGAGGCATAATAGTTATTTTAAGTCTGTCCTCATGTTTGCCACACATGCTTTGTGTTTCAGTCTCAACTAAAAATTAAAAAAATATGGAACCCAAAATGTCAAAAAAAACTTTTGGGTCGCGGGTATTTTCGTGGGTCGGTCGGAGGACAGCAAACATATAATTTTTTAAGGATGGCCCTGGCAGCGCCGACGCTCAGCGACAGGGGCCGCCACTTTAGTCTGTTTGATCTTGCTGTCAGGTTTTTTTCGTGGTCGAGAGTTGTGAGCGGTGTGATTCTGGGTAGCGTTCGTCGTGCGATCATGACGTGGCTTGTGGTGGTTGTTGTTGGTGGGTTGATTGACCTGCAGGCGTCCTTAACGTGGCGAGACGTTCCCATCAAGGTTTCATATTCATTGTAACATGAGCCACCTGTCGTCGGGCGAATTTTTTCAAGTGCGGTTTTTTTTTCTGGGGAGTGGCGTCTATACGACTAATGTCAGCTGTAACACTTGTGGCTAATCGGAAAAAAACCAATTGGCAATGTACGCAGTCACCATTGATAACCGGAGTCTAGTTATGACCTAACCCACGTGGTATTGATGCTGTAGCAGCTATGTTCAGCAGCAGAGTAGTGATGTCACGATCATCGATTATACTCAATCATCGGTTGAACAGTGGCTCGAACCAAGCGCTTGGTTATCAAAATCCATAATCGATTTCATCGGGGAAAAATATATTTATTTATTTATTTATTTATTTTTAAACTTGAACAAGAAAACTTGGAAAAGTGATGAGAATCAGAGATATCATCGCTACTATACAAGTTATCCTTTATTAACATACATGTATTATACACACAGTAGTAAACAGTGCAAAACAAACAGTAAACAGGGCTAAACAAGCACATACATGCACACACGTACATGCGCACGACGTTACGCACACGCAGGCATTCAACACCCCGAGTAACCGATTGTAACCGATCATCGGATACTTGGGTCCAACCGATGATCGATTACGAAATTACAACCGATTGACAACACTTATTAAGAGCATATAAAGCAATCGGGTGCGTCCCAGTCGCAGCTTGCCTTCCTAGTCATCACATCGTGTTTAATGGTTGTCGTTGCCTTGTCTTGCAGGCTGCGTTCGTGAATAGGGAGTTGGTGAATCGAGGTGTCGTACAGTGGACCGAGAAGGACCTGTGGTGACTACCAGGTGGCAGCTGGAGGTAGTAGTATGCCTCTGGTGATTGCTTCGTCACTGCTGATCTTAGGCTGAGTATTTCTGCTGCATTGTCGGTGCGTAATTCGAGGTAGCGCGGTCGTGCCTACATCGGCTGCGCCACCTCAGAGTACTGCACATACTAATGCAGTCTGCTGTTGGAAGGTGGGACGTGCTCGTCCCTATTTATAATACGCCTTGTACATTTCTTCGATTAGCCTTTATAGCATTAGTTAGGCAGCCTATATCCAGGCGATTCCGCCTGCCCCTTGTACTGTGGTCGTTGTTCCTAAGATATATTTAGGATGCGTTCTAGAGGTTGCCGCGGTAGGATATAACGCTTAACAAGTATGGACGTTGGTAAACTTGCTGTTATATATACGTGTGTGTATGTATAATATATATGTTGGGTAGATATATATCTATATATTATCTTACGTGATATATATGTGTACACACATAGCTGAGGTCGCACGTGTGTGCGTGCGTGTCAGATTATGGATTGAAACAGCTGAGCGAGGCTCCCCATGATAATGACCTTCTATTTCTGCTTTGTGTGGGCTAGGTGTTCATACTGGCAGCCCCTGCAGTTTGGGAAGGGTCATGTTATGAGTGACCAGGGACCACATTCAGTGCTTGTTACGGGATGTTGATGGTGTGCTCGTGTAGTCTGTTCGCATCTATGCAGATGTAGATATAAATTTGCACGTGCGTGTGGGATGGGGGATTTATTTTTTCTTTATTTTTTGTAAAGGATATGCAAATGTACAGATTAATAGATAAATTGAGAACACGTTGTGACGTGTTATCGGTTTAAATGAATTTTTCTAAAGAAAAAAAAAGATGGCCTATATTGCGCTGGTGGTGTCATACCCATTGGCGTTCTGGCTCTGACATCTGTATTATTCTTTGCTCATTGGTGCGCTGTCGTGGTGGTCGGATGGTGGTCCAGTAATTGTGTGACAGGGAAACGTGTATAGCAACAGTACTTAACAGCAAACGACCGGTGTTGATGAAGGTGTGAGGGTTTTTACTGCAATTGGTGTTGATACGTGTGCGTGTTTGCTAGCCCATCTGAATCGGGCTCTAAATACTAGCGATATTTTGTAGGTGTGTGAACTTTTATTATTATTATTATTATTATTAAATACATAATAGCACTGTATTTTTGGTAATTTTGTGTGGTTTGTTGACAGCTCATGGGAAGCTGGCAGGAGTTTATCATAAGTCACTGGCTAAAGCTTTTGTGTTTTGTTGTTACGCACATTGTTATTTCTCTCAGCACACATGCAAATTCTGGTGTTAGCAAAGTCGTTTCTAAAACCGTGGCGATGTCATCGTCGATCTAACACGTTCTAGGTCTAGAATAGAAAAAGTACCTCCATGCTCTAATTGACTCATTGCGACGTGGTGATCTTGCTGACCTGCAATGTGAATGGCATGGTAGATTTCCCCGTGGACGCGGTATCTGCACAGGTTACCTTGGTGCACGCCGCGTGAAGGCATGTATCGCGTGAATGGCGTCGGCCAATGTTGGACATGCAATGTTTTGGAACTGAACCATTGCCATTTGTTCACTGTTGTTGAGTTGCCGACTAAGGAGTATTCTTTGAAAGGTGTGGTTTCAGTTGCGCACGGTCGCAGCACGTAAGTGTGGCATCCAGAACAAAACATTGTCAGCCAGGCGTAGGCATGTTCGCATCACCGTTAGGCATGTCAGTGTAGTGGCGAGAGCACGCGAAAATCATGCAAGTACGTAAAAATGTGGCGACACAGTGTGGTGTGGATAGGCCGTTGGCATGCCGGCCATTTCACAGGTCATTGCAATTTGTTCTCTGATATGTTTATGTAATGCTACTTGTTGGTATTGTTTGCAGTTAGTATTCATCACGTATGGTTCCACGTCACTCATCAGCTGTGTTTACAATTATGCGATGGTTATGGTCTTCATGTAGTGTGCTGGCAGCCGGAATGAAATTGTTATCATGTACTGAATGGTAATTGGTCAGAACTTGCACATGGCCTGGTTAGTCGTGGTGCGAATTAATATTCAGTACTGTGTGCGGTATATTTTCTCTAGTGTTTGTAATAATTGGCTCTGCGAGAGAAGCATGTACACTACTGTGCGTCTGCGCGTGGTGCACAAGCCCAGGTGTCGGTTGATGTTGCAACCGTGTAACTTTCACACAAGAGTGCGGGAGCGTAAACCTGCTTGTTCACCATCATCTGAACCAATGGAAACGACCACACCCTCGATTGTCGTGTGAGTGTATTCGTGCCTTGATGCATGTGTGTGCGTGTGAGTATATTTGGCCCATATGATAGCCATACTATTTAATGGCAAATGTAAGGTTGGGTTTATATTTTCATTCTCTGTTTAACTTCGAAGTGGCGCGTTAGGTTGTCCTAACAGCAGGAGGTTGGCGGTGGAAGGTTTTGCGCGAGTGTAATGTTGAATTCTTAAGCATAGGGCTGTCATCGTCGTTTCGATGAGCAATTATAGTGATTCACTTCATATATTGACAAAACGTAGTTGTTGGAGGAATATACATGTAGGTATGTGGTGCAACGTTTATCTGGCGACTAGGGGAGTTCTCTGTAGGTGTCACGCTCCGTTTACCAGATGCGTTAAGTGCGTTTACTAACCCACCCTCCAGGCAGGAGTAAGCTAGGAATGCATTTTGTTGTATGAATTCAACTGGGATGTCACGGTCACCAGGTGGCAGCAGTTGAGGTGAGTAGAGCAGAGCTGCATATGCTTCGTGAACCGAAGTCCGAAGACATGGTCGCTGTTGCTGTTGCTGCTCGTCGTGATGATAACGGTGGTAAGATGTGGATGTAAGTAAAGCTCGTGGTTTGCACTATGCAGCGTGCAGCTTGTAGGACAGAAATGATACGTGTAGATTCAGTGTGCAAGGCTTCATATTGCATAATAGCTTTCATCAAACGTCTAGGCACTCTTGTTATATCTTTTCACAGACCAGTGTACTATACTGATTGCGTTTCATTGTGATGGTTTATTTACTAGTTTTCAGGCGTTCTCCTTGTCCTTTTCCACATGTATCATGATGTCCGAGGGAGCAACATAAAATTGGTCTCTTGTTGATAGTAAAGCAGTCACTATCATAACAAATAGTTATCCAGTGCGAATTTCAGCATGGTGTAATAAAGTAGGGTTTGTAAAATTATAGTGACATTCATAATAAATTTTGGTTGATCTTAACACGTCTGCTACTTTTTCTATGTACCGTGGGAACCCGAAATATGTATGCGTGCATACGTGTAGGAATGCGTTTTCCAATATAGGTGGCGTGCACATGTACAGATCCTACACTATTTTTCTTAGCGAAGGAACCGCCACCCGACCCTTATCTTCCCAACTGTAGTTCATTCGGTTAGAAATAATCAAACATTTTACAATAAGTTTGTTTCTAGCAAAATACTCGTCTTTATCGCACAGTATGCAATACAGAAGCAGTAACAAGCGACCAACAAATGCCATCAACTTTTTTGCTGGTCAAAGGAAGAAGAATGTAATGTAATCAGTAAAATCTTGGTATTAGCATAACAGAACAATATTTACACCATTTTAATGGTGATAGCAGTTATTACGACATTCCATTTTCTCGTCCCGACTTTCAATCTTGAACTAGTATAGTGCTGTTAAACCAACTAGGTAAACTCCTTTGACCACCACTAGAGTGACCATACATTTCCGCTACAATCGATAACAATCTTCTCTTTAAAAAATTCAAGAAAGGCAAGCGATAATAAATCACAGGTTATACCATCGAGAATTAGAACGTGCGTAGTCCGTAACCTTTCACTGCTCCACATGTGAAAGCACCTCAAATATATCAGACATGGTTTATTGAGCATCTGGCCTTACTTTTACTAAAATTACTTGTCCTCATGCACCACAACAACACACAGTCACGAAGCTGATGAACATCAGATGTATCAACGCCTCAGTCGATGTTAACGAATTAAATTACAATGAAAGTGTCAATGACACTAGCTCACCTTGGGTGTGATAGAAGAGGGAGGGGGGATATATAAAGCAATAGTATATATGGGAGAACTCCCATTATATAGCATATCTCCCATTATATACTCTTGATAATGATATATGCATAAGTTTTGATGCGAAAATAAATGTTTCAGATCTGAAAGTCTGAAATCTTGATGAGAGATGGTGCTACGCCTAAATGATCGCAATTTTGGTTTTCGAATATCGCGCAAATAAAAACTAAAATATTCCAGTCAAATTAGTGTAACAAAGAATCTAAAACACAATATTACACGTATATAGGTATGATTGTAGAGTTGTTAATCAGTTAGACAAAATAAACGTAATATGTTGTCATCTCTTCTATAGGAGTAACAACTGTCTTGGGGCTAGAACACCCTTACACATTCATATACCAAAATTTAACAAAATCGAATGAATCTAGATGGCCATTTTCATTTTTGCCAAAAAAGTGGGCGTGGCTCGAAAGTAGGTTGACTGGTGTGCTCTAAAATAGGACGTTCAAATCTCTCCCATAGGAGTAACAACTGTATGCAATTTGAAACATGTGGTTCAAACGGTTCTTGAGTTATCGTTGACCGTAGGCAGACACTGAAATGCATAGTGAAATTGCTAAAATCTACCTAATTTGCATAATTAAAAAAAAAATCAAAACCCGTGTGATATGTTTTGGGGCCAGTCCTTATTCATTCACATACCAGAAATGAGCAAAATCCATTGAACCTGAACTGACATGGCCATTTCCATTTTTGCCAAAAAGTGGACGTGGCTCGAAAGTAGGTCGACTGCCGTGCTCCAAAATAGGACGTTCAAACCTCTCCCATAGGAGTAACAACTGTATGCAATTTGAAACATGTGGGTCAAACGGTTCTTGAGTTATCGTTGACCGTAGCAAATGTTGACGGACGGACGTACGACGGACGACACCCCATGGCAATAGCTCATCTTGACGATGTCAAGGCGAGCTAAAAATATAGACTCAGCCAGCATCTAGACACAACATGTATACATATGAATACGTATTATATTAAAATATTTACAAATAGGCCATGTAAATAAAAAACTTCCACAAGAATAAGAGTTCTGCACTAGCTAGATCATTTCCATGGCAATAACATTGTCAGTAATGCTAGGGGCACACGAGCGTATTTTATCGCCCGATCGCGGCGATTAAAATCGCCAGCGAATTTAATCGCCCGATCACGAAGGGGCACACGTAGCGAATTTAATCGCCCGATCACGAAAGGGCACACGTAGCGAATTTAATCGCCCGATCACGAAGGGGCACACGTAGCGAATTTAATAGCCCAATTTTAACATCACATGATATCAAGAACACGTCCGATTGGTTTAGAAAAATCGATCGGGCGACAAAATACGCCGGACACGGGCACACGAGCGAATTTGCCAGCGTAAATAATCGCCCGAAAATATCTAACATTTTGGATACAGGCGATTCGTGCGGGCGATTAAAATCGGCGTCGACGTGAACGGGCACACGGGCAAATTTTTCGAGCGATTTTAAAATTCGCGGCGATCGGGCGATAAAAATCGCTCGTGTGCCCCTACCTTAAAAGAGATAGCGGTTTAATTTCTACACATCAATAATTCAAAAAAGCTAAACTTCCTAATAAAATAACCAATAAATGGAACAATGTTATTGCATGCATGAATTCTGTTAATTAAAACCGTCACTGAAACTGTATGAAGTCCTTCCAATTAGTCCAGTCACAGCCAATAAAACAGTAATCGTGTTGAGATAATACTTTGAGTTTGTAACCATTTACAGGACCCAACAATGGTATCGTCTTCATTCCTGACTTTATTTAGTCATAGAATATTTAGCCAAGCTATCCGCATGATTGATAGTTTTTCTAGATTGGGGCTTTTCGCCAGAATATTGAGAAATAAACCTTCATATTAACTTGTTCAATATTGCATGTGTGATTACCATAACACACTCTGAATAATGATTGAATTTAATACTAATTACTGAATCACCATACTGCGATGGTGTTCCCTTTAAAGCATAGCAGGGAAAATTATTATGTACAATGTCTGCCTTCATAGCATTTATATCATGGGGTAACATAAGCCAGGCAATTTGATTAATTTATTTTTTCAAATTGTCAACAATCTGCAAAGCATGCACATGCAAGTGGTGTCTAATTCTACATGAGAAATCTATTCTAATAATATCAGCAGCAGCAGTCGCAGTAGTAGTATATACTAGCGTATGTGACGTTCAAATGTCTCCTCTATTATCTTACTCCTGATAATATCTATGATGTAAATATATAAATATTTATAATTTTTCACGGTAACTCCATCCATTACTTACATGCTAACAGTTCATCAGCCCATTAAAGGAAAACTTTAAACCAGCACCTAAAACATGTTTAACTTTAAATGACCTGAGGCACTTGAGCCACAGGTAAGAGTTTGGATAAGGCAGTGGATGACAGATTGCAATTTTTTTTTTTCGTCCTTCACGCCCTACTCACCAGTGTCTTTTAATCCAAGTGTCCCTCAAGCCACCTCCTTCAACGATCTTGCCCCTCCATAGCATTGTATGGCAGATCAACGTCTTCCAAATCCTCATATCCTTCAAGCCATTGACCTCTGAGACAGTTTCCCTCCATGCTATTGTTCCTTCAGCCAGTGTCCCTTGACCTTGGAAGCCGCCATCGATGGGCACCTGCCAGTACAGTATCTGTTGTTCCAGTGTCTGTCAATCCATGATCCATGAAGGCACCTACCGGTAATGGTATCCACCGTTCTGGTGTCTGCCCAAGTACAGTATCTCCCGTAGTGGTGTCTTTCGTGTCGGTGACAGCATGCGTTACTTGCGCTGCTTCTTCAGCCGTAGCTGCTTTGCTTGTTTCATCTGTTCCTCCATCTTCATGTCATCGATATCTTCTATAGCAGCCAAACGCTCACTGCAACGTGAAAGACGTAGTGAGATGATGCTGGATTGTGCGTGCAATATAACATAACCAGTACAGGAATCTAGTCAGAGATCGTATAAACTTTCCCATCTTTCTGCCCGAGACGCTCCATATTCAATTCGACCAAAACATTGACAGATGTACTGACGATGATGGCATTGGTTCATATCATACTACCAACCAAATGTGAAGCTACACGTTCCGTACTAATGAGTAAAATAACGAATCGCTCGGAAATGTACGGGAAGGTGACGGGATGTTGGGATTGCCTTAGAATGCTGCAACAGTAGCGATTCTTTCGTTAAAAATCTTCGTTAAGATTCTTTCGTTAATGTCTGAGCCTCACCTGCGAGCTTCTTCCTTCATCATTTGAGAATAGCTGGACTCCATGATCTCATCATCGTCTTCATACTTGTACCTAAAACAATAGACAGGCAGATGTGCACCAACTGTCAACTGCTGCATTCATTAACCATCTGGTGTGAACGCACACACACGCACGCACGCACGCACGCACGCACACACACACCATCTCAGTTGGAAAATGTTAACCTTCCTTTGAGCTAGGGACTCGCTGCCAGAAAAATCATAAATAGTCAAGAGATCACATGAGGTCATAATGTTTGCAATGAAATGTAAAAATTACTAAAAAATGTCACATTTTTGACTCACAATAGTCAGAATAACATTCATTTAAGTCAACATGATGTTATCAGCAACAGGCTCTTGCTGATACTACGTGAATTTGCTGTCTACAATACACACACGTAACTAGTCTATAATCGACCACAAATCAGGAGGAATTGCAAATTACGAAGACGCGCACGTGCATCTAACACTGCTCACTTGTTTTTGTCGTAGCCGAAGATCTCCTTAATGTACTTCGAGTAGTCGCCTCCCTCCTCATCTTCCTCATCCTCATCAACGACGAAGCCATCCATGTCTGAATCCTCCTCCTCCTCATCGTCATCATATGCGGCTGCAAATGTAAGCACATCATTATGACAATGCAGAACCAGATGAAAGCACTTCATGAATTATTAATACCTGTGTGTGGAGCAGCCTGTAAATTTCGGAAATGGCATATATGATGGTGCCACCATGTACTAATATACTGCGTGATCATGCTGTACACATAAGCAGTTAGACAGCATTTAACCTAACCCAACATATTATGCACGAGTAGGTAGATAGGCAAATCAAGGACCTCCCTATACGCTGCAAACAAACTAACACATGTGCACATTAAATATTTCACCACTACAGAATCATTCTGGCAAGTGCATTTCGTCGCGGCCATGTTAAGGCAAGCAAGTCTTTCAAGTGTACCAAAACAAACTAGCTACGAACAGGAATGAAAAACTATCACACATCATACATCATCGCAACGTATCAAACGTGCGGAAAACGTTTCTAAAACAGCTCAAGTTTGGAAAGTTATCTAAGACGAAAATTCGACACATGAGCAGCCAAATGACCGAGCTATGACGTGCACTTTTCGATACGTACCTCCACTCCTGTAGTAAGCACCTATCGGAGGAAGTTCCCGACGATACTTCTCCCCGATCGGAGGCAGCGGAAGTTGTCTCTTCATCGAGTCGATGTCGCCGACGGGCGCGGGACTCGCGGCTCTCCCGCGATGCTTCGACCTAGCGGGCTTACTCTTCACGGGACTAGACCTGTCCTTAGTCGTGACCGCCAATGAGCCCCGGTGAGATGCACTCGCAGACCTGTCGTGCTTCGACTTGGACTGCTTGTCGTGCTGGGAACTGGCCGGCGCCGACGCATGCTTCGACTGCCTGCCGCCGGACGAAGACTTGGAGGCGTCCGGCCGAGACGACCGGTGATGCGTCGTCTCCGTAGCGACACGCTTTGCGGGCGAGGGCTGCGCTGAGGACTTGCTCGGCGCTCGCACCGCATTGATGTCCCTGCCGGCCGACTTCTTCGCCGGTCTGCTCAACTCCGCCGGCCGCCCTTTCCCCGACGCCGAATTGATGTCTCTGCTGGGAGTCTTCCCAGAGAGCCTGTCTTGTACGCTGTCCCGACTGCCGGAGGTGTGGTGTCTGTGCACGTCGTCCCGTGCAGTCGTACTCACGACGTGCTTGTCTCCGCTGCCTCTACTCGAGCACTTTGACTGTTCCATTTCCGCTTTCAACCTCCTATTCTCCTCCTCCAGCTTCCGTTTCTCCGCCAGGATCGCGTTGATGTCAAACTCAAGCGGCTTGCCACCGCTGCCGCTCGCCACTTTGCCATTTTGCGAGGAAGACGGGATTCGGCGCTTGCTATCGCCCGAGTGACTGCTACCGTGTTGGTCCGACTTAGAATAGCTGATGTTCTCACGCTCTTCTTGCCTGTGACTGTCACGTTTATGTTTGTCACGATGCGGTTTGCTAGAGGTACTGTTCGTTCTCTTTTCGTTTTTCGTGCGTCCAGGTGAGAGCCGTTGCTCACTCACACTGTTATTTTGATTACCGCGCTCCCTGACCGTCTCCTTCGGCCGACTCTTCTCCGCCGGTCGCCTCACTTCCAACTTACTGCTGGGCTTCTCCTGCCCCGACCGCTTGCGTTCACTAATTCTGGAGCTGCTCTCCTGCCTCGGCTGCTTTGCGTCGGGCTGCGACGCGGGCTGATGCGACTTCCTCTTCCGGTCGGCTGACGCCTGCATCTTCTCCTTTTCGCGCTTTGTGAGGAGCCTCTCGGGCGACCTCCGCTCGACCTCCACCTCTATGTGCGTCGGCATCTCCATCACGGGTTGCTTCTGCTTCTGCTCTGCGAGCCGCAGAAGGTCGGCAAAGTCCATGGCCGGCGGCGGTGGTGCCCTCGCCCGCTTAATCTCGCGCTTCGGCGCCAACGATTCGTGTCTTTCCGCGTCGCCGTTCGCTGAGCTACGTGACTTGCCGCTGGCGCCCTCTGGCTTCCGCTTGTGCGAGGACGACGTCTTGGACGGCGGTGCACATTCCTTCTTATTGCTTCTCGACTTCTTGTCGGAGGAGCGGCAGCTAGAGTCTTCGTTTCGCTCGCGCTTGGTGCTCACAGCACTGGGCTGAATGCCACCCTTCACCTCGGTCTCGATGAGATTCAGGCGTTCGTTCTTGAGCCGATCCACCTGGGGGGATAAAAATGAGCTGGTTTCAATTTGCAATTGGAGATCGTGCTACTGTGTGATGCCTTTGATGTGAGTGACATGTTCGTACGTGGCTTCCGTCCGATTATAGACAACTACAAGAGGGGGTATCCGGATCCTAATCTAACAACAAGTGCCGCAGAGCGACAGCGCTCAACTGACGTGTACTGCAGCTGGGTATTCTTCTGATAAACTCACTGGCAACCGAATCAAGTGGGCTCTAATAGCAAAAGCAGTTGCCGCGAGATGGCGCGTGCAAGTGTCATCAATAATCAAAGATGGCATCGCCCTTCGTGTGTGATAACCTCACTCCATTGAGTTGCTGAAATCCTACCGGCTAAAATCCAAGTATATTCAGGCAGGCGAGAATTTCGCTCAGCTGTGAGTTAACACATCTGCATTGCAGGTTGCCAGGCAATTATTATGATTAGAATAATGCCAGTTCACCCCCATGCATGCGTAATGGGCTGCCCCCGTGTTTTTGCCTACCCATGCGAGCATTCAGGGTGCTATTACAGTGTGCTACTCCGGGTGCTAATACAGACTGCTTTAGAAAATAATATGATTTAAGGAGCGTAAACCTTGTTCAACATACATTTGCCTTTGCAATTGAACTGTGCAACTGTAGCCTCACATCCACAATAGCAAAAGCAGTTCAGTCTTTTGTTAACAGTCAACAAATCCATGTTTAACCCTTTTCTTAAGGGTAAAAAGGTTATCAGACACTTACTCTTCGCACGTCAGCGGAAAGTACATTTCATGGTCCTTTCAATAAAGTGATAGAAATGGTAGGTCAGCGCTGAAACAAAAAAGTTTTACACTCGGTCCGTTAGACCATGTCCTCAGAAAAGGTCTGATATCTGACCTTTCCGCCACTGCCCTTTGACCTCCAATTTTGCACTGGTGATGGGTTTTCTCCCCATCACACTATACATCAAATATTAAGAGCGTAGGTCGAGCCGTTGAGATTTGTGGCGCAATTCCATATTTTCTCCTATACCTTAAGTTAAGGGAGAAATATTCCCCCTCCATTGACACATCTTGACCTTTGACCCTTGACCCCCAAATTCGACATCCCGAGTCCTTTTCGCGATCCCCCCAACGTCCTGAATATCAAGACCGTACGTCGAGCGGTTAAGATTTGTGCCCAACAGTTGACGGACGGACGAACGGACGGACAATCATGCGATTCTACAAGCTGCATCTGACTTCGTCAGCTGAGCTAAAAACCGTTCGGCAATCGAATGCACTCAAATTTACTCGACACAAAATTTATCGCTACACACTTCCCGTAAAAACGTTAAATTTTAAAGAACTTGACCGGCGTTCACCTTATCCTGGAATTTACGACGTGCGTCCTCATAGTTCTGCGTCTCGCGCTTCCCGAGCGTCAAGTTGGAATTGTCCTTGAGGTTGTCCTTGGTACGTGTGGCCATCGAACGAGCCTTGCGCGCAGTACCGGCGACCTGCCTGGCTGCAAGCAGCTCCTCTTTCTTCTGGTGAGCCAAGGTTTCTAAAATAGCATAAAGAGGTGTAAACTACATCTCAAATGTCGGCAGTGACATAATGGTAAGATTTGTATCCGTATTGCATGAAAATTAAACGTAAGCTGTCCCCTGACAATTATATTTTTCACAGTGAGGTATTCAAATTATCACAAGCCTTCTGGTAACGTTTCTCGATGATCGTTATGTGCATGGACTATTTAAATTACTAATAAATATAATTTGTTTACATAATATTGGGTATACCTTTCTTTCGCTCCTCCTCTTCCTTGCGTGCCATAAATGCCTTGATTGCATTTGGCTGCACCTTGGATTTTGGATCTTTCTTTGGAGGAGGTACCTTTGAATTGAAATACTTGACATCCTGTCAACGTAGTAAACTCTATAGTAGCATAAATTTCTAAGATGCATTCTAGGCAAAAATGAGACGTGCTAGCAGCTGGTTAGATATGTATAGTCAATAGCCACAAGTTTTTGTCTTTATGAAAAAGACTGTTTTCAGTACATGTACTCATATCTGAATTATATGCAATAAAGATTTAATAATAATAATAACGTGACTACAGCTCAAAATGAAAAGGCTACGGACACTGGTTCCATTTCATTGTCACTGTCACTGCCTGACACACGGCAAACAAGGAATTGTGGAAACACTCTAGATAGGGCCTTAGTAAATACGAAACAAAGCAGCAACCCACCGTTTTACTTCACCTAATTTTTATTAGTGAGCACCTATCAATCGATTCAATGTTATTCACCGTAGCCGGCTACGAGGCTCAGGCAGTGCCCAGAGCCATCATGATCCAGGGCTCGACTTTAACAGTGGCCCGGGTGCCAATGGCCACCTGAAACGGCGTCGGGCCACCTGAAACTGTCGGGTTGGTGGGCCGCCTGGCCACCAATAAAAATATGGCCGTGGCTACGCGACCGGTTCCGGACGAGGAGCCGCTAGGCTACGCGTTCGGACATCCATCTCACACAGAGATCTTGCGACATGTACACGCATGATTGCGCAAGGGGACTCTCTGCTGATTGCCGAGCGTGTGTGTGCGTGTGCATGTGTGCGTATGCGTGTGCGCATGTGTGTGTGTGTGTGTGTGTGCCCGTGCGCGTGCGCGCGCGTGTGTGTACGTGTGGTTTA